CGGGCTTCGTAAGAACCTCGACCTTAGCTAGACCCAGTACCCTCCAGAATGAGGAACTTTTCATCGGATGTTCCCATGCAAAGCCGAAGGTCGTACTCGTTCATACATACATGCCCAACCAATTTCGGCTGGGCTGCTGGCAGCGGATACTCCAGACACCGTCTGCCAATCACGGACAGGGACATCAGAGCCCCTATCATTGGTCCCAGCTGGACCCGCATCCGAGCTGCAGCCGAGCCCTCAGTTTCTCTCAGAGGTGACCTCTGACCTTTTATTGACTTACCGCGTCTGCTGGTCAGGCTAGCCCCCACCAAGCGATTTAATTCAGTCTTACTGCCGAGAGGCGACTGACTGCGGCCTGGGGAACTAGAGTTCGAGTCCCAGGAAGATTTCGGATTTTTCCAGTGGCCACAACCTTCATATTGGCTCTGGATCCCATCCGTTGGGCAGAGTAAGGCTGAGTCTGAAACTGACCATCACCTCCATCACGTCCTACGCTCTCTGTGCCTCTTCAAGGCGTGCTGCTAAGGCACAGTATTGTTATAGATATTGTTATTATTATTATTCAGAGAAAATTTGTAGCTTTATGCTCTAGTAGATTTGCGCATGTCATAATAAATATGAAATTAATTAGGCCGAATCCCTCAACACTTAAGTCCAGGCGACCATTCCTTGGTCCATTTCTTATTACTGTCTTTAAAAAACAAACCCCGTTGCTATATTTTCACGATAGTTTACGTGTACCTACGAGGTTAGTCAGGGACTTTTCTTATTCTTGGTGTCCGCCATCACTTCAAAACTTACTCTCTCAGTCAGATGTGTTTCTGCGGCAAATGCTGTCTGCAGACGCGGCTGTATTCCTGTTTTCAACAGAAAATTGATTTCACTACCCGGCCTTCTTAAATCCGTTAATAACACAGGAATAACTTATGAGGCGTGTTGTTCAGACCTTTGTTTTTATTTATGTCGTTCAGTGTATAGAATCTTGTAATTGTATGCTTTTTCCTTATTTTCTAATGACTGTCTAGTTCTTCTGTTTCATTGTATTTTATTTCGCAGTGCGTACCTAATAGCTGTTGTCAAACACTTTAACATGTTCATTGAATTCACTTGAATGATATGTTTATTTAACTCATTACAACTAGAAGCGTGAGAGCCGTTATGAACCGCATAGTAGAAATGTGCATCTGTCATGCCACTGTTGCAGAAACGAAAGCTCAGTACAATTATACGGGATTGTCGAATTGCAGAACAGTGATTAGAAGCTACAGGTGTTTTTTTTTGCACAAGTCATACGCATAGCCGGTATAGCGACTGGCTACGGGCTGGACGACCGAAGGGTCTGAGTTCTAGTCCCGGTAGGGTCAAGAATTTTCTTTTCTTCGTGTCGTCCAGACCGGCTCAGGGGTCCAACCAACCGCCTATCCAAATGGGTACCGGGGGCTCTTTCCCCTGGAATAAAGCGGCCGGGACGTGAAACTGGCCACACCTCCAACTAGAGCCGAGTTCAAGAAAATGTGGAACTATACATCCACTCCCCCATACGACTTCATGGCATAGTCCTTAAGTAGTAAAGCACAGGGACAACTTTACCAAACGCATGCAACCACAGGCAGCAGAACACCGTTGCTGTGGCGTCATCCATGCTTCTAGTTATAGTGAGTCGAGTGTAGCAATAAGTTTATTCTATATGTGCAGAAAAGTCCCAAGATTGGGGCTAATATTGAGAACACTTTAAATCTAGGTAAATATGCCGTGTCTACGTTTATTTTACGGAATATATTGTGAAGGCATTTGAGAGGCCCTAGCTCATTGTATTTTGATTTATCCCTCCATTCCTTTGAAGGGAACGAACTGTTAACACTCCATATAGGCATGTAAGCTTACAGCATATTATTGTCTATCTAGAAATCTGATGAATCCGTAACCTTTCTTACGAAACTAAAGTACAGAAGAACCAGAAGGTATCTTTGAAGTAGGAGAGAGATGACAGAGAAGTAAGTTTAACTGCCGCGGCGCACCAATGACGCACAACAGTAGTTGCCAAATATTTCTTATATATTTCTCTGTGCTTTGCAGTTAGTATATATATATATATATATATAAGAGGATTGCGCAGTTGCAAGGTCGTATTTGTACTTCTGTGCATTATTCNGAAAAACGCACACACACAAACTAAACATCCATGCCCTGAATGGGATTCGATCCCGGTTTCCAAGCGAGCGAAGACAGTGCATGCCTTAGACCGCTCGGCTACCGTGACCGGCGTTTTTTTAACTACTTGACGGAATTAATTAAAATTTGAATTGGTGGGATACACACTCCTAATCCCTTTTTTGTTTTTGAGGACTCGAGTAAATCTGCTGTTAATTTACACCGGGCACCCCTGAATGGTTATGTTCGCCAGGTGCGCTTGTTCCGTACCTTCTGTTGCTGAATAGAACTATCGGTGATACCGCCGGCCGCGGGGTATGGATAGTGTAAGAGGACACAGCTGGAACAAGTTTTCAACTTCTTTCGACAGCTGAAACAAGATATTTGTGACTCAGCTGGGTACTGTGACCACAAAAATGAGTTTAAAAGCTGGAACACGCAGTTTCTGTTATTCTCAATTTTTTATGCAAAACATATGACCATACCGCTTGTTACAGAGTTTGAAACAATGTTATTGTTTATACGAAAATAAAATTTCGTACGCTGTTGAAACTTGTTCTCACATTCATGGTTGTCAGAAATACGTATAAGCTAAATAAAAAATACAAAAGTTTAAATAATTGTTGCTTCGGTTCTAAATTCAGCACAAAACCTGTGAGGCGTTGCGAAATTTTTGTGTCCAGATTTATAGTCAGTACGACAGACTTAATTTGAAGAGTTAGTTTTGTTTTATGTTAGCGTATGCCTTGTTGAGTAATTGAACTGTTGTGAGTGCTGTGAGATTCTTGTCGTATTGAGGGTTATGAAATAAACTGTTACCGAGGGAAGCTCTTCGGTAGGACAAAACTCTGCTCTCTTGAGCAGCCTGCAGTCGCCTGGTATGGATCATGGTTCATGCGCAGAGGAACATCAACTCCTTGACTATAGACTGACTGTATTACTTCCCGCTGTTTGGTGTTAAGTAGCAGAATCATGGGTATTGCATTGGATCAGACTTAATATGCTTACCGCAAGATCTCGCGGTTTTCATTCCATACACTCACATTCTAATCGAGTCTTTGAAAACCCAAGAATCAAGCAGTCTAGTAGAAGAGCCGTTAAATACACAGAGACTCGTAGTTACTATAGGATTCCGACGATGGTGTATAACACATTGATATATTGGGTTTTTGGACTTTATCCATCGTCCTGGTTTTTAAGATAACAAATAAAAACACGACGTTTCGGAAACTGGATCTGTTTCCGTCCTCAGGTGAAGGAAAACACCTATTCAGTTGGGTCCGTTAGAAAGAGCTAGCCTCAATCACTGGACGATTGAGTGATTGACAGTGTTGCTTAACCGGTGTTTCGCGACGTTATGAAGTTTGTTTCTGCATTTATAGCTGTAATTCATTAAATACGGTGCCATCAATGCTATCATTCTTTGCCCTGTGCTGCTCTTTATTTTGTTAAGCTGTTCCATCCTCTGTAGTCTTCATGTCTCATCTTAAGATAGGCCTACTTCTCGTTTTATGCAGTCCCAATGTAAACATTTTATTTTTTCTATAATTTATTCATCATTATTAAAGGTGTTCTAATTGGTATGCATGATTCATCATGGAAGCTACCGAAGGGATTTCGATTATACTGCGAATATACATCGAAAGTTCTCAAACGAATGTAGTTTTTTTTGTATCTAGTGTAGTTTCTGCTTTACATGAATGTGGAAACTAATTCATCGATTTTATCAAAACTGGTTGATCGTGCAAAATATTAGTTCATGCTACCAAATATAGATTTTCGTAAGATTACAACTTTTACTTGAAACTCTCTTTGATGTGATGAATGTTAATGACGTAATCATTGGCAAAACAGCCCGTTTTTAGCTGTAGTCTCCCTTAGAAGATACTGCCAGATTTATTCATTCTGGTTTTCCACTTATTTAGGTCTCGCAGTAGTCGGCGTTGCGTCCGACTCCCAGCCTGGAGGATCAGCTCGCTGTATTTCTGTCCCCCAGTGATAGGGTGGCCAAGTTATACCCCCCAGGCACCGGGTTCTCTTTTCGTCGCCTTCTGCGTCTTGCAGGGCTACAGTGGAGTTCTAATCCCCCTCCACACGGGGAGTTTAATGATATACAGGAGAAAATAATTTATGATTCTTTGTAATATGATATACGTAGATCAGTCAAAAAGTTCCCGAAATTCCCCTGCAGATGGAGAACGAGCAATAAGATAGCGCACACACTGTTGTGGTGGAAAGCTCAGCATGTCTGCTCGCAGGCGCAACAGATCTGGACAGGTTTCAGTGTGCAGTGTTCCGTTTGAATTAGACGTGAGTGTTGGTCATTCGGAGCAATGTCGCAGTCGAACAGTGTGCGAACATCAAGTTCATGTGAAAATTGGGAAAATCTGCTTCAGAGACGCTATTGGCCCTGCAGCAAGTTTACGGTGATACCGCACTAAAGAAATCCGCAGTTTACAACTGGTTTTCCCAGTTTTAGAATGGGCAGGAGACGTTAGGGGATGACCAGCGCAGCGGGAGACCTTCGACATCAAGAACTGAAGAAATGATTGGAAAGTGCGACAACTGATTCGATGTGATCGAAGAATGACAATCGCGGAGTTTGAGCAAGAAGTTGGTACTGTTACTGGCCATTTCTACATGCAAGTTTTGCAGAGGTTGCGCGATGCGGTTCGGAGGAAGCGGCGCGACAAGAGGCAGGGACAGCGGTTTCTGCATCACGATAACGCACCGATCCACACATCGCTTGTTGTGCTGCAATTCCTCGCCGAGAAAAACATTCCCGTCATCACTCAACCACCGTACTCTCCGGATCTCGCTCCGAGTGACTTTTGGCTGTTCCCTACTCTGGAAAGGGCTTCAAAGGGACACGTTTCCCAACCATGGAGGCCATCAAATCGAATGCGACTGCTGAGCTCCGGAAGATTCCAAAAGAAGCCTTCCACAACTGCTTCCAGCAATTGCAGGATCGATGCAGCAAGTGTGTGTGCGCGCAAGGGCCCTACTTTGAAGGTGATTAGGTAAGCGTTGCCGTATGTCCTACGTAAGCGTTGCCAATTCGCTTAGTGGGGATGGACTGTACCACCATTCCGAGAACTTTTTGAGTGACCCTCGTAGTTCATTGCTGTTCGTTATTACGAGTAGTCTGTGTTGCGGGTATGTATCTACGCTGCATGCTTATTTTAATCTGTAATATTGCAGCATTTGCATTCATGATAAAAGAAGCATACCTGCTGTTGCAAAGCATTATGGTGATTGCAATAGGAGGCTCTAACAGCCAGTTTAAGAGCCAAGATGATATTACAGCAAGAATGAAAATCAATTTTGGTTCAAGGAGGCATCGAGTTTGTGTATGAAAACATCTGTACTCGTGATTTTCAAAATATTCGACACTATGGATACTACAGTGCCCTGTTTTGTACTCCAGGTGACAGAAATTGATTTAAGAGGAACAGTTGGCCTGGATAGGAGCTGACGGTGTGGTGTCTAAGAATGCTGTCGTTCTTTTCGCAATCCGACCCCAAGCATTACATGTTTGTTATTCGCTCTTTCTGCAGATCAGAGCGTTCAGGTGCCTAAGCTGTTCATAGAATTCGTGCACTTTAAGGACTGAGAAATCTGTACGTATGAATGAATGTATGAGGGGTAGGCCTTCTCGGACCTTGCACCGAGACCTACAATGGTCTATTGTGCTTAATCTGTACGTAAGAAGCTAACGTTTATTGTTTGGAATATTTTCCAGTCGCCATTAAGCATATGTTCTCTATCTCCTGGAGCTTTTGGATTCTAGATTTGTGTATATAGGCCTTAACAGATGATTGGTCTAATGCATGTTATGTATACGTAGAGTTCGATTACGGACAATAGGAAGGGGCACAACACTAAAATTCTTGCTAATGTCCTCTTGGCAGTGTTGTTTATACACGTATGTCCATTCCAAAGGAGTTCCCGCTCAGAAGTGGTTCAATAATGATAATTCAGATAGACGCATATGTGAGTGTTGGGTGAAGAAAGTTGCTTTTGTCTCGTGTAGGTCAATGCAGACTTTCCATTCTGTAAGCTGCTGCTCCAGAAGTTGTGTGTTGCTGAAGTTTCTGCATGGCGAATCTGGGGTAGTGGCCGCTGCCAGGATTGCGCTGTCATCCGCGAATTAGCTGGGCTTAGTGCCTGGTATGACTGGAATGACGTTTATATCGGGTAGTTCAAATTAACGGCTAAGAAGTAGTCTGTTTCTGAACTCGATCAAAATGAAGAAAGCAGTCTTCTGGGATTTGGCACCGTGTATAAGTGGTGTTAACCGACGTTTCGGAGGAACGTATCGCCTCCATCTTCAGGGTAGAAGAAAAAGTATAAGAAATCTGCAAGCGACAAGACAGTCTGCTTTTACCGTTCTCACGGTCTTGTCGCTTGCAGATTTCTTATACTTTTTCTTCTACCCTGAAGATGGAGGCGATACGTTCCTCCGAAACGTCGGTTAACACCACTTATACACGGTGCCAAATCCCAGAAGACTGCTTTCTTCATAGTCACCGCGGTGAAAGCCTCAAATCGATCAAAATGGTTGATGATGAGATCCGCTCGTACATTTCCGTGGAAGTTGTTATTATTTTTTTCAGGTTGTGTAACAGAATATTCTGGATCGATTAATTAACAGTTAACTCCTGTTCCCCACAGGTTAATGAGTCAGTGACGGCGCATTCCTAGCCCAGAATCGAGCCGTAGCCGCCGGTCGGCGAATTCGTGTGGTCAGTATCATGTAGTTAGTGCAGACGTGGCGTAGGTGTGGGGAAATTCCACTGCAGGAGTACAAAATGCGGGATTCAGAATTATCGGACGTGTGACTGTCGATCATTTTATGACACCCCAAATTAGAACCGTTGTGCAACTAGCGTCCTCAGCATGAATACAGAGTGCTGATGGCGAAACTTCTTAAGATTTGTCACGATGAAGGAAGAAATTATCAAAATCAGCTTCAAGTACTCGAGTTTGTTTTGTATTTTCTTTATTCTACGGCTGTTTTATGTTTATATTTAATTTGTTTGATTTTTTTTAATTCGCTTAGTGGGGATGGAGTCCACTGGGTCCACTCGGGACGGCGGCCACCGATTGGCCTATAGTAGCCTGCCCCGGGTGATTATGATGATGGAGAATTTGGTGGAATGAAGATTTACAGGGGAACCGAAGTACTCGGAGAAAACCCGCCCCAGCGCCACTTTGTCCACTACAAATCCCACTTGACCAGACCCCGGGATCGAACCCGGGCCGCCGCGGTGGGAAGCCAGCGACTAACCGCTTGAGCTATGGCGCGGCCATTGTTTTAGTTTACTTGTGATGTATTTTACTTTGCATTGTTGCTGAAATAAATAAGTAGATAAAAGTAATACGTTTTGATAACCGTAATTATATAAAAGAGCGTTCTTTGGTATGGAAGGGTTGTTAGAAACGCTAGAAGGGAGCACCAGATGAGAATTGTCAAAGTACTCGTGGTCCAGACCGTGTAAACAACGGAGTATTGTATTTTGATCTGGAGTTCCTGAGTCCTCGTTTCAGTCTCTCATTCAGATTTCCTGTGAAACGGCGAAACCTTTGTCGCTTTCACTTTATGAATACTTCATAGCATTTTATAGTTGCTTAAGGAATTAAAATGTTTGATTAGCGAATCTCCTGAGAGGAGATCATTGGAGAGACCTCAGTTCATATGCGAGAGTAATATTAAAATTGATCTTCGAAAGAAATAAAGCATGAATATGTATACTGGTTTCAACTGGATTTTGTTTGTTGATGGACTTTCGTGAAAGCGGTGACGGCCCAGAGGTTTTGCTGTGACGAACTGAGCAACAATCCAGTGATACTGGAATATTCTGTACCATGTTGTATGAAGACAGTGCTGCATGAGGGACTGCAGCAGTGTTTACTGCAGTGGTCCTCCTTGAACCCGCGCCGGTCAGTTCATCGACTGCCCAATTATTCACACAAGTCCAAGGATCGAACCTAAAGCACGGGTCATCAGCTCTTAACTTCCTATTTCTTCAGTATAGGAATAATTATTATACGTGTCCCACCCCAAATCAGTGTAATACATTAAGCCTTATTTATTTGGCTATTTTGCAATGCTGTGTAGACCTACGGCACTATTTGTCGCCGAATGAGATGTGGTAGAAATAGTGGAACTGATTAGTCGGCAGAGACGGCGTAGAAATACGTCTTTGTCTATTTTGCCTATAGAGAATTGTATTTTAGACATGATTTAAAAGTTTAAATTCTAAATATGTATCAGCTTCTTCAGGTATCTGTCTAGCAGATTGGCACAGCAGAAACGTTTGGGAGGTGCCTGGTTCGAATCTTGACCGTAATACTGATTATTTTGATCGTTATTTTTCCTTCACGAGGCTAAAACTTCTCTCAGCACTTTGTTCTCAAGCACTGTCGATCAGTTGTTGTCTACTGGAATGTGGGACCAACTTAACAGAGTATAATATTTATTTATTTTTTTAAATTCGCATAGTGGGGGGTGGAGTTCAACTTGGTCCACTCGGCACGGCGGCCACTGATTGGCCTATTGTACCTTCCCCGGGTGATTATGATGGTGGAATGAAGATTGGCAAGGGAAACCGAAGTGCTCGGAGAAAACCTGCCCCAGCGCCCCTTTGTCCACCACAAATTCCACTTGACCAGACCCGGGATCGAACCCGGGCCGCCGCGGTGGGAAGCCAACGACTAACCGCTTGAGCTGTGGCGCGGCCTGAGTATAACATTATAGTCTATGATTTAATATTTTTTACTTTTAGATCAAGTTTGAGAACTGAATGGTAGCAAATATTTTGGCCTTTAATCTGTTCTTTATTTCAGCATGATTATTTTTTATATTCTTTATTATCGTTCCCGAACATTTGTAATGGTTAAGGCATCGCACGTAAAACTGTACAGAATAGGAGCGTGTAAGATTATATGTGCGAAATTTCGCATTGTTTGTCCGAACTTTGACGATCTAGGAGGCATACTAATGGAGAGATAAAACCACGTTTTGCTCGAGATTCTCGGGAACAAAGATCGCATTCGCAGTCACAATTCAGCAACGCCCATCACCAGGTTTGTTCGGAATATCCACAGGGTGAATACGAATCTGTTTCAGATCAAGATAATGGTGCAAAATAAGACTTTCGGAAATGGTTGTCACCTAATATAACGGGAAATAAGGAGACCTCAAGTTAGGGCGTATCAGAATGCAGCACAAAGTGACGCAAGTAAAAAAACGAAGACGTAAAGGAACTGTTCTTCAACACCAGTTATTCTAGCATTACATGTTTATTCGGATAATACTGTTAAGTAATCACTGGCGCGTTTTTGGTGTAGCCAGCTTGGATGGAAGAAACAATTACATGCAGAATTTTCTTGAAAGTGGCAACATGGAAGACCTAGAAGAATATGGAGGAAGAGATTGTGAGGCTGAAAACCAGATCGAAATGACTGTTTTCAGGATTTAATAGACTATTAGCCATGTTTAAGCTTCTGTTTCTGTTATTGGAGTTAGTATGTTAATTGTTGAAATCTCCTCCTTTGTTACGTAGGTTCTCTTGTCACGCTGCTTTGCTTGTGGTGTAGTTTAATGAAGGAGATGACATTAGTTATGGAAAATCGCTTTGAATAGATTTATCATTAGAACCAACGTTCATTTCAGTACACATGTATATTTTCATTTCTGGTTTGGTGCTGAAAGCGTGTAGATGAAAAACAGTTAATCGATCTTTGGAAAGGAAAGAGCCTTGAGCAATAAAATGGCGCACCTTGTTGTGCCAGTCATGTGTATGTAATCTCACAGTCTGCGAAAAGAACTGAGTAAATCCTGAAAGGTTAAATTTTATGTCACAGTCAGCAAGGGGAGTTTTATACAATGAGATAATAGGAAATGGCCAGATTCATTTGTGTGGTGTGAAAAGGACATGACACGTGATTGGAACTTTGAATGGCAGAAGTTTATATAGGACAGTGGCATTATAATATATTTAAGATTTGTGCATTTCTGTTTGACTTGTAGGTCTATAAAGGGCTGGATATAGTGACGAACAAGGTGACAGCCGAAGAACGAAGCCTGGCAGCACACCATCTGCTGGACATTGTAGAGCCAATGCAACGTTTCACTGTCCTGGATTTCCGGAACAGAGCTCTGCCCATAGTATCCTTATTGTTCAGATACACAAACCACATACATATCAACTTACATGAGTAATGGTGCGTGAGCTACAGATATTATAGTATTACATCAAATGATAGGGTGAATTCAAATGGTGTGTTGGTAAGGATATGAAAGTAATCAGTTTCAGCCTATTTCAAAGTACCATTCTGTCATTTGACAATGGGGACAAGATAAGACCATGAAAATCCTCGTTTGGAATAGACATCTGGTTAACATCCAAATTAAGAAGAAAGCAGTCTTCTGGGATTTTGCACCGTGTATATGTGGTGTTAACCGACGTTTCGGAGGAACGTATCGCCTCCATCTTCAGGGTAGAAGAAAAAATATATAAGAAATCTGCAAGCAAAGAGACCGTGAGAACCGGTAAAAGCAGTCTTTTACCGGTTCTCACGGTCTCTTCGCTTGCAGATTTCTTCCTCCGAAACGTCGNAGCGTTTCCGGAATACAGTACTGCTACCCTAACCTGTTCAGTATATCTGCAGTAAAAGCAAATGAAGATGAACGAGGGATGAAAAATTGCAAAGAATGTGTTTGGAAATTCTGTTTCAGTTTTACAGTTTGGTTACTGATAAATATCAATAGCAAATTGAAACATTATGTAATGTTGCAGTGTGGATGTCAGATATACAGTGCGTACAATCAAGTGCGCGCCGCGGCTGCAATTTGCCGTGAGTCATACCACCGCAGAACGGATGCAGTCGCGGGGAGGAGCTGCAACTCCTCCCGGCGACTGCATCCGTTCTGCGGTGGTATGACTCACGGCAAATTGCAGCCGCGGCGCGCACTTGATTGTACGCACTGTATTTTAGGTCTGCTTTGTGTCATTAGCTCTGATTAGTAGAAGCAAAACAGAAGCACTGGTGGGATCAGTAAACATATCTGCATGGTTTGTGCTAGATTATCAGTGAATTCAATGCCGTTGATCCAGACCGACTACACACCTCCATTTTATGTCAAGGTCTACTATAATGCAGCTATGCATTTTATTGGCTTCGTGGGTATACAGACAGACAGTACCATGGGTGTGTGGGCATAAGGAAGGAGTCCTTCTGAAGGATAAATTTTACACATTTTTTATTACTTGAGGGGAGTTTTTTATCTTATACTCTGTTGAGCCGTTTTTATAATGCGAGAAGACGATTTTTCCCCTGAAGTGGAGGGTTACATTATCTTCTATATCTCGATAACTATTGAAGCTAGAGATTCCAATAAAAACCTAATTTGTTCCGCATGATATGGACTACAAATCATATCATTATAAGGTTTTACTCAAATCACTTCCTCTAGGTCTAATTAAGCTTGAAACTTACCTGTCGATTTTGGGAAAAACGTTATTTTTGACCTTCAAAAACCAATTGGAGGTGGAAAGTATCAGAGCTGTTGTTTCTACCCTTTGTTGTTGCCTACATGGGGAATATAATCATGTAGTTTTGAACTCCGTACCTATTTTCCAAAAAATTCCAGGAGCTTCCAAACTTTGCTCTGGGGCCAAAATCGGCCATTTTTAACATCTCATATCTCCGGTGGGGAATCTCCGAAAAATTAGAAATTCATAGCAAATAATGTTTTATTCTAGAGTAACTTGGAGATAAAATTACAACTTTGATATTATACTAATAGCGAAGTTGTTGGCACTTTGAATTTTACCCAAAAAATTAATACCTGAACAACTGGCTTACCTGGATCCAATGGTATTAGTGGTTCTTTCATTCATCAGTAATCTGTCATACGACAGGTCCACAGCCTTTTCCAAAACAGTTCATCCAGTTAATGCGATCTAGAGCTTTCTCCTTCAAATAAAAATATCATCTTCTGTCCCAGGGTCATCCAGCATCTTCTTACATCTTTTTCCTCGTTTTATCATCTGCCATCCTCGTTGCTGTTTTTTTCTCAGTAATTTTGTTTCCTTCCGTTGCCCTTCATCCATCTTATTAAGGTATGGCACATCATAACCCCATTACAAATGTAACCGGTATAGTGCGTGACTCCTTGGAGTGCCCGAGTTCGAATCTCGAAGGCAGCTGCGTCATTATACGTTTAGCGGTATGCCTCTCTACTTCTGGGGACAGGTTGGAACCTGTTCACGAGATGTGGTAGGTTTGAGTCAGGGAGGTGCAGTTGGAACAGTTAACACGTGAAGGACATATGCCTAAACCTCTTCCTCTGCGATATATTGTAATGTCGGCTGGGGGCTTCTCACCCTATCGCAGGTCGGCAAGGCCACTGTCGAGGTTAATATACCGACCCAACTTGAGTGACAGTTTCAGTGGTGTTACGAACTTAGCAGGTATAAGAACGAAGGCCGTGTGCGCCCACAAATACAAAGGGAAGCTTGCTACAAATTCGATTCAAGCCACCTTGACATTATCTATTTTAAATATTAAGTGCTTGTCGTGCAGAGCTAGATGTACAGTTTAATAGTGTTCATCGTTTTTACATTAAGTATGTGTACAATAGTGAGTGTTGCTTGTACCTTGGGAAGTGCTTTGACCAAGCCCCATTGTCATACCGTCCTGTGCCGGCCTGAACAGACGCACGCACTCGCGCGTCCACACACTCACCACCACCACCACCACCACCACCACCACCACCACCACTCGTCCGTTACAAGCTACGGAATCCTCTTAACAAAGTCCTGTCCAACCCAGAACCCAAGACCCCGTGCAAGGATACCGCTGAGTGAAGTGAGCAACTACGGTTATAAAACAATAACCAAGCAACTGAAGTGGACCCAGTACACTGGCGCCCTTCTCAACTAGTCGGTCATGTATGCGTGTAAGCAAGAACTGTGGACGTCGTAAACATAGCGAAAACTCGGCCGGTTGTACAAGGCAAAACTCCGTTGTTCCGTAATCTCATAATATGGGTGTTGGTGTTCTGAATCTACTGTGTCTGGAATTTATGTCTCAGTAGTTATATCCTGATCCTTACAAGCCATGCCATAGATAGAGCTCCACATGTACGTAACCTCGAGACGAGTTGGAGGTGAGTGGTTAGAATCGTGCTACTGCTGTTTTACTAGAAGCCCTGCTACTCATTGGAGAAGAGGCTTTTGTGCTCTGAAGTCAGTTTATATTCCATGGTACTGAATATAATACCCTGCCATTGCTCTGTCTGAAATCACTTTAATGACTTAGCTAATCTGGCTCATCTTCCATTTAGTGTTTCATATATACATAATTGTGGCAGTATTTCTCTTAACTAGGAACAGATAGAGAAGTTGATGCAGGATGGTAAGTTACCAGTGATCGTTGGTGGCACCAATTATTATATTGAGTCACTGCTGTGGAAAATCCTAGTGGAGAATCGTGACTCATTGGAACAAATTAAATCTCCCACTGAGACTGAGGAAATCCACAGTGATGGTGCTGGTAGACCTATCAAGGATTGTGTTAGTGACAGAAATGAGTCTTCTTCAGTAAAAAGGAAAATGCTCGATTGTGAAAGTGCTAATGCTGTTCTTGATGAATGTGGTCACGGTGCCAGGAAGAGAGTACTGGATAGTGATGATGGGATCTGTAGTTACAAATGCGCAAAATTGCAGGCCTGTGATGTGGGGTTAAACACCTTTAGTAATAGGTGTCAGTTGAACATTCGGAGTAAAGGTTTCCAAGCTCAAGAGAGAAAAGAGGACGGTGTCTGTGAGGGGCCATACCTCAACAGTGCCGATTGTTATAAGGATCTGGATCACAGTGATGCTGATGTTGTCCGAGCCCGGAGTAGAGTGTTGAGTGGAAGTCAAGAGGTTTGTCAAGATAAAGACATTGACTGTGATAATGATCGGGTAAAGCCAATCATTGCTGAGTTTCAGAATAAGGATTTTGGAAGCAATGCTGTGGCTCAAGCTCAGAGCGAGGTGCACAGTGGTAAAGACCAAGTTGAAGAAAGTTCACAAAGACAGAGAACTGAAGTAAATTTTGAACTAGTGTACGATCGTGACAGGAAGAGACTCAAGGAGGTGCTGAGTGGTGAGTTCATGGAAAGGAGGACGCTAAGGGTGGAGAACGATGTTGTGGATTTGATGGATGAAGCAGCGCTGGAACATGTGCCAGGTCCACATCTGTATGAAAGGCTACAAGCAGTAGACCCTGATAGGGCGCAGCAACTTCATCCCAACAATAAACGTAAGATCATAAGGTGAGTAGAATCAGTGAACTGTCTTGCCCTTCAGTTTTCCATACAGTGTCATTAAACTCATTTGGTATTAAATATCTCAGCAGCTGAGACTTAGTTGTTAAATGAGCTGCTAACCAAACCACACTAGTTAGGGCACCGTCTCTTCAGATTTTCAGTAATAGTTATTCTGCTTCTATCTCACTAACCAGCTCCATGGAGCTCAGTCCTTAAGAGGCCCATAATTTCTGGCCAATCAAATTATCAGCATTTTAGGGAACTGGAAGGTTGGCCGCGCCATAACCCAAGCGGTTAGTCGCTGGCTTTCCACCGCGGCGGCCCGGGTTCGATCTCGGGTCTGGTCNCATCCTCCCCCATCTTTATTTAAGATCAATTTTAATGTTCTCTCATCTATGTCTAGGTATCCTAATGATCGTTTACCTTCAGGTTTCCCTACAAAAACCTTGTATGAACTTCTCTGCCATATATGCAACATGCTCTGTCCATTTTATTCTCCTTAATTTGGTCATTCTAATAATATTTGATGAATACAAATTACGAAGTTCCTCGTAATGGAAATTTTCCAGCTTCGCTACTTCCTTCTTTTTAGGTCCAAATATTCTTCTCAGCATTTGGATCGCAGACACTGTTAGGCTATGTTCTTTCCTTACTGTAAGACACCAAGTTTTACACTCAGATAAAACTGCAGGAAAAATTGTAGCTTTTTGTATTTGAATCTTCAGGTTTGTAGATATCAGGTGAGAAGACAAAAAACTTTAGAACTGATTGGTAGCAAGCCTTGCCTGAATTTGAGCTTATCTTAATTGTTTAATGAATACAGTTTTGATTTGTTAAGTGTCGTTCCCAACTAATCGAAGTTTGTCACATTTTCAAAAACTGTTTTGTGTTATGTACCCGGTATTCTGGTGATGCGACATCGGCATATACATAGATTTCTATCTGTACCCTTAGAACTTTTTTTTCCCCCTTGGCACTACAGCCCCAGTGGTCCTAGGCCTACCTCCATGAACTTCTCCGTACTTCGGTTTTTCTAGATCTTACACATTCGGTAGGACTCCTTGGGCGAGTGATCAGCTCGTCGCAAGGCCTCTGCCTTTACACAAACACAAAAACGCACACAAAGATCCATGCCCTGAGTGGGATTCGAACCCACGATCTCGGCTTCCGAGCGAGCGAAGACAGTGCACGCCTTAGACCGCTCGGCTACCGTGACCGGCTTAGAACAACATTTTACCGACGTTTATTAGAGGTTCTCCGCCTTGGAATTGATACATATTATTTTCGTTCGTAGTTAGTTGATTTTTGGAGTTCACAGTCGCGATCCATACAGCATGTAACGTCTAGTTTCGTTATATTTTCCCGCCAACATTTTTACATTATATGCTTGTAAATTGTAGTTGAGTGTTTAATCGTGTTTCTCAGTTCATACAGTGTTAACCACTATCTAAACATTCGTCCAGCCAAAGACTAAGTTCGGTGGTAGGTAACAATACTCGACACTCGAGGGAGTCTAAGACAAAGGAATTAGTAGCATTTTGACGTTTGTATAAACTCCTCCGTATCTTGAGGCTACCTAGATTTGAATAGGAACTAATTGTGATTGTCTAGCCAAAAGTTATACAAACCATTTTATTGGCTTATATTCATCTTCCTGGTCCAAGTACACGAGATATGAACGAACATACAAGAACAAAAACCGACGCCTTTTCTGAACTACAAAATACTACCGGCAACTTCGGTGGCTACAAAGACGAGAAGTGTTCCAGTGTAGGCGCTGAGTCTTGGTCACAGTGAACTGCCCAATGGATTACTCTTTGTCTAAAACATCTTAGAAGGTACGTTGTAACTTGAGTAAGCGACGTTACAGATGGCGGTTTTAGTTCCCATCGTATGTTGAAAATAGAATCGAATGTTCTGCGCCGTGTAGTTCGGAGAAACCCCGTCGTTTCAGAGGAACTTACCGCCTCTCTGTTCTGGATTGAACAGGACGCTAAGCAAGCAACCAGTGGAAGCAGGAGAATCTGACGACTATCTAACGACGACGAAGCGATATGAAGGCGCACACAAAATACGTGGAAAACATAACTTAAAGGGTTCTAATAGCCCGGTCCCTTACCGGTGACACGATACGGTTAGATTTACTGTGCGCTGACAAGCGGACTTCGGCAACAGCAAAATACATACAGGCTCAATGGGTCGAGTTGTGAACTAAACGTTTGTTATGTAAACAGTAAAGATGGGGGACCATCCTACGCGATGCTATGGCTGTCACTCCTGCGTGAACTTTTATGTGAGATCCAGGTTGGATTTCTGGTCCAGATACCCGCTCACTTCAATTCATTCTCTCGTGGTTTTTCAGTCCGTCCACGTAAATGTTAGGACAATGTTTTAGAAATATGTCCCCGTCTTTTTCTTGAACATTCTTTCCGGTTCATTGTATACAAACTTACCTCTTTTTTTTTTTCATCATTTATTGATCATTAAACGATGTCTCCTGTCTCTCTGGCAACACGCCATAGAAACTGAAGGTTGACCACCGCAATAATGGTACAATATACCGCCAGTGGACGAAGTCTTGTGCCAATTAATCCACATCCCATCTTCATAACCTATTTTTTCTGAGACTCGTCATAGTACTGACCGTGTTTCTCCTCGCTCTGCCGACTGGCCGTTTTCCTAGCAGTTTTTATGTCCAAATTCTGTATGCATTCCTCGACTTCCCCATTTATCTACATGCTTATACCATTGTAGCCTAGCCTGAAAGTAGTCTACTTCATTGTTATATTGGTATTATCCTAAGTTAACCACTTAACTTCGTCCCTGTTGTATTAGGTCCTCACACTTTCCAGAAGACTTCATTTTCGCATATATGCAATTTCTATTCTATCAAAGTAACAAACCATATCTAACTCATACAAAATAGTGGGATACTGCTGTATATTCGTCATTTTCTCAAACGAAGTTTCATTGACCTTTGGGAGATGTGAATTTAAATGGCAAACAGTAGTATGGAGCCGTGGAGGGGGATCTCATACAAAGTCAAGCGGATTTATGTAACTTGTTGATAACAGCTTGATTAAAGGAAGGTCAGATTTAGACACGTGCGACTCAAGTGCCACCACCGGCATCCAGGCACAGCGATTCGTTATACAAGCAACAAACCCGCGGTACAGGTACCTGCTTCATCTTTCCAGAGTTAGGGCTCGTTAACCGACTCTTTGATACGAAGTCGTCTTGAAAAGTTATCCATTCCCTGCTTCTGTGAAATTCGAAGGTTCATCATCGTGTTCACAAAACCCGCCATTGGAATATATCCTTAAGACACTTTTATTCATTTTAATGCTCTCGTATCTATGCCAAGATCTATCAAGTAGTGTTTTCCTCAAGGGGCATTCCGTCCGAAATGTATGCCTTTTTCATTTCCCACGTGCATGTTACATGGATGAGAAAGTTGAAGTGAGCCTTCATTACCTGTCAGTGAAGTGTCTGGTTGTGGACTGGTGATCAGGAGTTCTTTTTTTCTGTTGGAGCGATGGTATTTTTCTAATGACATCATGCCTGGGGTTGTACAGCATGCCTAAGAGTAGGGACCAAGGACTTATTTTCTTGAACTAAATAAGCAGTAGCCAGACGCTGGCCACACACTACTAGACAGGGTACTGCGTGGAACTGTACCTTCACGCCCCCATACGCCTTCACGGTGTGTTACTGTACTTGGGGATATCCTTATATTTTTAACAGTTTTGAAACCGGCCACTTGGAAAGATATTAAATAAATTGGAGGATAGTATTAAAATAGATATTATAGGAAGTAGGTTTAATGGTGTTGGTTTTTGCAATGCCATTTTGGTCCCTGATCATAAACGCAGGACCTGTGGGTGTATCCTCCGTTATCGCAGAGTTTCCGGAATAGCGGTTCGCAGTTCTTCTCCTTATCATACAAGGTGCGCCGATAAGATTCAAGAACTGGGTCGGGTTAACGACTTGGCCCTGAAGACACTAGAGAATATCGGCGCACAAAGTGTTCATTATTACAGTCTTACGGGCGCCTGCTCGCCGCTTCCCCTGCTTCTGTTACTGGCTTCCGTATCAAGTGTCTGGGCACTAGCTGTCAGAGTAACAGTCTTACGCCGCGCCGTACCTGAAGCGGTTAGTCGCTTGCTTCCCGATCCCGGGTCTGGTCAAGTGGCGCTGGGGCGGGTTTTCTCCGAGAATTTCGGTTTCTCCTGCCGATCTTCATTCCACCAAATTCTCCATCATCATAATCACCCGGGGTAGGCTACAATAGGCCAATCATTGGCAGCCGTGCCGAGTGGACCCAGTTGGGACTCCACCCCCTACTAAGCGAATTAAAAAAAAGAAACTGTCTTACTGACTAGCTAAAGCAATAACTAGCCGACTTAATAACGTACTAGCTACTTATAACTGGCTAACTAGCGTACTAACTTACTATTTTTTTATTGCTAGTGGGGTTGGACAAAGTCCCTTCCTTGTACTACGGCCACTTCTGGCCTATTGTATCAGCCCCAGATGATAGGTGAGGGTGATTGTGGAGCAATTTGTGGAATGAAGATTGGCAGGGGAAACCGAAGTACTCGGAGAAAAGCTGCCCTAGCGCCACTATATCCACCACAAATCCCACTTGACCAGACCCGGGATCGAACACGGGCCGCCGCGGTGGGAAGCCAGCGGCTAACCGCTTGAGCTATGGCGCGGCTAATAGGTAGCGTTTGAGAACAGGAGGCTGAGGAGACTGCACGGACCTAGGAGAAAATAAAAGTGGGATGGAGAAAATTGTATAAATGGAAGATTCGTAATAGGTATCTTTCATAAAATATCATTAGGGTGATAATATTAAGGAGGTTGAGGTGGACAGGACATGTGACACTCGTAGGAGAAATGAAAAGTAAATACATACCGTAGTTATGGTGAGGCAAACCTGAGGGGATGAAACCGAGCCATAGATGAGAGGATGATATTAAAGTGGATTAGTATCAGGATAT